GTTGGCCCGAGCTCCTTCGTGGCCTCGATTAATCCCATGGGGGGGGCGTCTGTTGTTTTCTTCCTTTTCCCTCCTTCCCCTTTCTCCTCTTCTGTTCCCCTCTCCATGTGAACATTTTCTCCCCCATTTCCCAATATCTGACCCCATTGTGCTCCTCATTTACCCTTTGGGTTGCTCACACAAGAGGAACAGTGCAATATTCAAACTTGTGTGTCTCATTTATTTCACTTAAGGTTATGGTCTTGAAGTGCATCCGTTTTCCTCATTTCAAATGTGTCCTTCTTTGCGGCAGAGTTCTCCCCCGTATGTAGCTACCTCATTTTCTGTGTCCGTTCATTGGTCGATGGGCGTATGGGCTGTTTCCAAGATTCAGGTCTTACACTGTGCGGTTATGAACACGGATGCGCCTGCAGGGAAAGCTGGGTCCGATGAGACCTCTAGTCCCGGTCTGTCCGGAATCCCCACGCTGACCTCTGCGGTGCTTGCCCGAGTTCACACTCCCACCGGCGGGCAGCAGGCTCCCCACAGCCTCACCCGCACCTGTTGGCGCGAGTTCTTGATGACCATGGCCATTCTTTCGGGAGTGAGCTGCAGTCTCGGGGTTTTAATTTTCAACTCTCAAATGACCAGCGATGTTGAACAAAGTTTCATGTATTCATTTGCCATTTCTAGTTCTTCATCTGAGAAGTGTCTGTTCACTTCAAATTCCCAGTTTTGGATTGGGTCTTTACATTTGGAGGGGTCTGATTTTTTTTCCAGTTCTTTATATATTCTAGATGTTCCCCTTTGTCTGAGGAGTGGCTGGTAAATAATTTTTATCCCCACTACTTACTGAGCCCTAATCTTCTGGTGAGCAAATCTAATGGCCTTTTCCCTCTTCCCCTTTAGTTGAATTTGACAAAGCTTTACTGATTATCCTGTCTATATCCTATCTTTAAAAGAAACAAAAACAACTAAAGTCAATATAGACAATCTGACAGGGCATTACACACTGACTGAAGACAAAGTTCAAAAACTTTTTAAAAGCATCAGTACGTTTTCCAGGGTAACCACACACATGGAATCATTGTCAACCATGTGCATCGACACTGAAAGGAGGTACGATGGCTGCACCAGAGGGGTTGAGGTGTAAGGTAACAATTTTGTACAACTCTATTTTCTGTACATTACAATATGCATTTAAACAAGTCTGAGAGAAAAGGTACATTTTCCCAGTCTGCCATCTGCTGGTGAAGTCTAGCAATATGCCAAGGTTAAACTAAGTTTTGTGCTTGCTTTTTTCTCTATTACCTGGGCTCCCTTCACTTTTCCTGTTTCTTTAGCCTGAGTTTTGCCATTTGTTTTGTTTTGTTTTTGTTTGTTTGTTTGTTTTTGTTTTTTGAGACAGGATCTCACTATGTAGTTGAGACTGATCTGGCCCTCACTATGTAGCCCAGGCTGGTCTCAAACTCACAGCGATCCTCCTGCCTCAGCTTCCCGAGTGCTGGGATTACAGGTGTGCGCCACCATGCCCGGCTTGCCATTTTTAACCTTCTAATTCTTTTTCCATTTTATTTTGTAAATACTTGCTCATATCATTTGGGGGTAGATAATATATGTTAGGTCTGAACTATTTTCAAGTGATCAAAATCCTTATCTATTGGGATGTCTTTCTGGCAATCTCTGCCATGATGGCGTAGTAACACACACTCACAGTGGAAGGCGTGCTTTCAGGACCAGCTAACACCCTGGGGAAATGGGTCTTAGCTGAGGGGTCAGAAGCTGTGGTCAAAGTGTGGTACGTTCTCTGGGAGGAGAGGCACATCGGGCCACCGAGGCACTCAGTGCCCATGGCTGAATTAGCAAGGGCTCACGTGGAAGACGTGACTAGCAGCAGCAGCAGCAGCAGCGCTCTGGGACGTGAATATGCACACCTGGGCAGGGAGTCATGGTAGACACGGAGTGACTTGGACAGACTGGGGACTCCCACAGAGGGAGGAGTCACAGTGACCTCAGCTTTCCAAGCTGGGCAGCCGGAAGAACTGTGCCTAATCAAGGCAGAACAGTTTAGCAATGTATGTAAGTGGGTTTGGGGGAAGGCAGGTGTTGAATGGATTGTGCACACGCATGCAAAATTCTTCAGCAGGCAGTAGAAAGTAAGGGCTGGAAAGAGATTAGAGAGTTGACACAGTACTAGGGTGCAGCTGACACCAGAATGGGTGAGTTACTTCTAGAGCAAACACAGAGCAAGGGAGAGTAAACTAGAGACCAGATATGGGTTCGTCAGCATTTAAAGGACAGGGCCTAACAGAAGAGCTCATGGACATGGAGGGGAAGTGTCAGGAAAAAACCCAGCAGTCATCAAGTAGCCACAATCCAGAAGGCAGGAAGGACTGATAACTGAACCAAAAGGATCAGTAACATAAGGGCCAAAAACATGTTGCTTGGTTTGGCAACTACAACATCACTGGTAATCTCAGGGATGAGCCTGCAAAGAAAGAGTAACTGCAATGAAGCCAGGCTGAAGAGGGGAGGGGGTGAGCTTACCTGTGAGTTGGGGGTCAAGGAAGTGTGTATGAGAAAAGGTGCTTGAGATGGAATAATAACTAGGCAGGATAATAACTTAGGCAGGGTGCCAAAGTCAAAGGACAAAATGAGATAATCTGGGAGAGATGCTTTGCATGGTGTCTAGCATATAGTAGATGCTCAATAAATACAAACTGTTGCTATCACCCATTAACCTTATAATAATACCAAAACTTACTATGTGCCAGGACTGATCTGGGTCCTGCAGATTACGTTAAAACAAGGTAGAAAAAAGTCCTTATCCAAGATATATACACACTACTGGGGGAGACATAAACTAAATAATTTGGATTATGTGTCTATTTGTTTATAGTAAATACTACAGAGAAAACTAGAGAAAGAAGATGTCAAATGTTGAAGAAAGAAATGAAGTTTTAGATAGTGAAACCTAAAAGTCTCTTCCTAGGTAGAGACCTAAAGTGAGTAACCACCATTAGGAGGTGATGGGATATTAGTTATTATCATCACTGATGCTTTCATTCTTAATTATAAAAATACATTGTTATTATGTTATTACTGTTCTGTTTGCTACAATTAATGTTGTTTTTATAATCACTACCATCTCTGGCTGCTGAGTAGTCTGAGCAGTTGCTTTACGTTTATGTCAGGAAAGACTATGCAATCTATCATGGGGAAACAGAATTGTAACGTGACATTAGCAATCATAGGTTAGTTTGCCAGGGCAAAAGCTAAGTGCCACATGGCAACAGATCAGCTACGGCTAAGAAGCTATTTCATGTGTGTGCTGAGGGAAAGGCAGGCCTGTGGGAGGTCCTCGCAATGGGACCAAAGAGGCACTGATGCAAAAGCATCTCTCCAGCAGCAGGAACAGCGCAACGGCGCCCTGAGTCAGCACCACAGGGGCAGAGAACCTGTGATCTAAAGGTCATAGGACAAGACTGTGTTTCTACTGGCAAATTTATTTGTGGTTAAGGATAGGAATTTGCTTATGCCATCTGGGAGTAATTAAGAAGAACTGGAAATTCTTGCTATTTACCAAGGCAAGCACAACACTGAGAAAAAGGTGGGTGTGTAATGAGAATTAGCTGGATTTTACTGAACAAGAGGATTAAATCTTGCCTATGACTGATGTATACCATTTTACAAAAGACTGATCCAGAGTAATAATTATGCTTTGCAATAGAGAAATTGATTCAAAAGAGAAAAAGAAAAGGAAGAAAAAAACTGGTAAAAGAATCTCCATGCCTGAGCACTCATATTACCTTTAATCTGTTTAAAAGACTACAGTGCTTGAGTCACCAGACATAATGGTGCATGCATATAATCTCACTATTCAGGAGGCTGAGGCAGGAGGATCACTGTGAGTACAAGGCCAGCCTAAATTACAGAGTGGGACCCAGCCTCAAAACAAGAAAAGAAAAAGTGATAACGTGAGTGTTTCATTCCTTAATAATCAAGTTTTGCTAGGTAGGTGGGAGGGGACAGGAAACAACCCGCGGGATATAAGAACAAAATCCTGTTCTTCAACTCAGGTTAATGGAAAAGCTTTAGAAATACCTTAGTTGCATTTTTTATTTATTACCAAAATGGGGCCAACATACAACTTGCCTATTAAAATAAAGAACAAAAAACTGCAGTGATTAAAACTTTATAGCTCAATTAGCAGTGCTTAGAATATAGAAAAGTTCCCATTAATTCCTTGTAAATTTATGCAGAAACAGATAATAAGCATTCCGTTCCCAGCTATGGAACCAAAAATGGACCATTGTAATGGACAAGTAAAAGACTAAGAAGTGCAGGGGATTTGGCACAGCGGTTCTGCTGCCTGCCTCTCAAGTGCAAGGGCCTGAGTTCAATCCCCAGCACCAAAAAGAATCTCATGGGTACAGAAATTTTAGCTGCAGGAGGCTGAGGCAGGAGGATCACTGTGAGTTCGAGACCAGCCTGGGCTACACAGTTCCAGGTCAGTGTCAACTACATAGTGAGACCCTGTCTCAAAAAACAAAACAAAAAACCAAACAACAAGCCTGTGAAGGAAGAAATTAAATAGACCAATTATACTTCACAGCTCAAGTTAATAGCAATTTATGTTGTATTTTCAATACTTTCACCTCTTTACTATACAATAGTATCACACATATTCCAACACAGAGTATATGTATATATTATATTCCTGTATGTTATACATTCCTCTAAGGATTTCAGAGACAAATTTTATAAACATTATCTAACCCTACTTTTAGGGTGGAAAAGTGAGATGTGGACCCTGGGAAGACTGTGCTTGTGGTATGGATTTCACAACACGCCAAACACAGAGCTAGGAACCAAGCCCGCCGGTCCTCTGGGACATGCTCTGCAGAACGGGGTGCGCAGGAGTGGAGGTAGGAGGAGGGTGGAGACACCACATGCAGAGTCTGCTGAGTTTCTGGTGTAAGAAGAGGGTATGGACGATCACACATCTCTTGCGTCCTTACCTTCTTAGGTCACAGGGCTATGGTCGAAGCCCCAAAGGGCACCTGTTTCCTCTGTTAGCTGCCGAGCCAGGGTGCCCGTCATGTCCCCAGAATCCTTCAGGCCAGACTGCAGGAGAAACTCAGCGCAAGCCAGGTGCTGCCCCGCACAGGCCAGATGCAGAGCTGAGGGAGACAAAAATGACAGACGCAGCACGTGAGCTCTAGAGCAATGCAGACTGGACACAAAAATACTGCTTCATTCGGTTACACAGATTGTATACTTTAGTGATCCATTCCTGCGACTTACCCTACACTGGATCACGATGTATTTATTAACCTGACGGGTGGAAAGTATTTTTAAAGATAACAACAGTTAGAGGGGATTGAAGCAACTTTTCTAAAGTAACTGGTGGGATATTAGTTATTATCATCACTGATGCTTTCACTCTTAATTATAAAAACATATTGTTATTATGCTATTACTGTTCTGTTTGCTGTAATTAATGTTGTTTTTATAATCGCTACCATCTCTGGCTGCTGAGTAGTCTGAGCAGTTGCTTTACGTTTATGTCAGGAAAGACTATGCAATCTATCATGGGGAAACAGAACTGTAACGTGACATTAGCAATCATGGGCAAACTAATGGGAAAGAGGAGATGCTTTTACCTCATACTCACTCCTGTCTGCCATTCAAACATGGTTTTAATGGCACAGAAAACTTTCTTTCAACATCTTGTTGAATTTTTTTTGTAAGAAAAATCATAAATAAGGATGTGGCAGAAAGCAAATCTGCTGACCAGTCTTTTCCATCTAAGGTGGAGAAATTACTGTTGATGCTGAGTCCAAGAGTACTCTGGTTCCGCTGCCTGGACTTGAGGAGCAAGCCTGCATCCAAGCCTGGGCTAGCAGTTCCCCTTCTACTGCTGACACGAGGACTAGCTGTCTGCAAGTCTTTGAAGCATGAGGATCCCAATAAACCCTAAAAGATGGCTTTTGGCTCCCAGAATACTATTTAGAGGATTTAATCTAAAGTCAAACTCTTAAAAAAACCCCACATGATTTTCTCAATAGACACAGAAAAATCATTTGACAATAGTTCAACATCCATTCATCATAAAAACCCTACAGGAAATTTGAATAGAAGGCATTTATCTCAATTTGATAAAAGCCATCTATGACAAACCACCAGTCAGCATTATACCAAATGGTCAAAAACTAAAAGCTTTCACTCTAAAATCAGGAACAAGACAAGGATGCCCACTATCACCACTCTTGTTCAGGATAGTTCTGGAGACATTAGCCAGAGCAATTAGAGAGAGAAAGAAATGAAAGTAATAAGGACAGCAAAGGAAGAAGTTAAATTATCATTTGCTGATGACATGATACTCAACATAAAAGACCCCAAAAACTCTACGAAAAGACTGATTTGATAACTAAATTCAGTAGCGTAGCTGGATACAAAGTCAACACTCAAAAAGCAGTATCATTCCTGTATGTATACAAATAATAAACTCACTGAGAACAATTAGGGAAACCACACCTTTCACAATAGCATCCAAAAAAAGGAAACACATAGGAATCAATTTAATGAAGGAAGTAAAAGATTTTTTACACTGAAAACTACAGTACTGTGAAAAAGGAGATCAAAGAGGATATCAGAAAATGGAAAGATATCCCTTGTGCTTGGGTAGGAAGAACCAATATAGTGAAAATGACCATACTCTCAAAAAAGTTGTACAGATTTAATGCAATCCTGATTATAATACCAACAGCATACCTTACAGAGTTACACAAAACAATCCTAATATTCATTTGGAACCAGTGGAGACCTAAGAGCAAGAGCAATTCTGGGCAACAAAGGCAATACAGGGGGCATCACAATCCCTGACTTGAAATTATACTACAGAGCTACAGTTATAAAAACAGTGTAATTCTGGTAAAAAGAAAAACAAAAACAAAACACCCAGACCCAAGGATCAATGGAACAGACTAGAAGATGCAGAAAGAACTCTAAACACACTTGGTCAACTTATCTTTGACAAAGAGGCAAAACACTTTCACTGGAAAACAGCTAGCGTCCTTAATGATGCCGGAAAAACTGGCTTTTCCACCTGTCAAAGACTAAACCTAGATTCATAACCCTCACCATGCGCTAAACTAAAATTGAAATAGGTCAAAGATCTAAATATTAAAACAGAAACAATAAATCAGCCAGAAGGTAGAACTCTTGAAGACACAGGTATAGGCAAAGACTTTATGAACAAAACCCTGATCACAAAGGAAATATTACAAAGAAGCCACAACTATAGTCACATCAGGTTAAAAAGCTTCTGCACAGCAAAAGGAACCACCATCAGAGTGAAGAGACAACCTACATAACGGGAAAAAATTATTTACCAGCCACTCCTCAGACAAAGGGGAACATCTAGAATATATAAAGAACTGGAAAAAAAAATCAGACCCCTCCAAATGTAAAGACCCAATCCAAAACTGGGCATTTGAAGTGAACAGACACTTCTCAGATGAAGAACTAGAAATGGCAAATGAATACATGAAACATTGTTCAACATCGCTGGTCATTTGAGAGTTGAAAATTAAAACCCTGAGACTACAGCTCACTCCCGAAGGAATGGCCGTGGTCATCAAGAACTCGCGCCAACAGGTGCGGGTGAGGCTGTGGGGAGCCCGCTGCCCGCCGGTGGGAGTGTGAACTCGGGCAAGCACCGCAGAGGTCAGCGTGGGGATTCCGGACAGACCGGGACTAGAGGTCTCATCGGACCCAGCTTTCCCTGCAGGCGCATCCGTGTTCATAACCGCACAGTGTAAGACCTGAATCTTGGAAACAGCCCATACGCCCATCGGCCAATGAACGGACACAGAAAATGAGGTAGCTACATACGGGGGAGAACTCTGCCGCAAAGAAGGACACATTTGAAATGAGGAAAACGGATGCACTTCAAGACCATAACCTTAAGTGAAATAAATGAGACACACAAGTTTGAATATTGCACTGTTCCTCTTGTGTGAGCAACCCAAAGGGTAAATGAGGAGCACAATGGGGTCAGATATTGGGAAATGGGGGAGAAAATGTTCACATGGCGAGGGGAACAGAAGAGGAGAAAGGGGAAGGAGGGAAAAGGAAGAAAAAAACAGATGCAAAAAAAAAAAGGCAACTAAGCTTGTGTAAATGGGGAGGGGAAGAAGGATTGAAAGGAAAATGGGAAAAAGTGCAGAGCTGTCATGCACAGGTACAAATTCTCCACGACGAACATGATCAATATGCGTGACGATGCACTCATAAAAAAATAAAGTTTAAAAAATCCAAGTCTTGCAAAGCACTTATCCTCTCAGAGTGTCTAAAATGTTAACGGTAGTGTCTAACAGTAATAATTGGTGTAAAAATTGAATTTTGGAATAAATGTTTTCATATTTTTGTAGTGTGGTAAAAACCAAAAAAGCCTGCCGTCTTAACTCCTTCTGAGTACACAGTTTGGTAGCGTTAAGTGCATTCACACTGTTGTGAAACAGACCTGTAGAACTTTACCTCACCTTGGAAACGGAAACACTGTACCCATTAAATAATTCCCTTCTCCTTTCCCTTCCAGCAGAATAGAATTTTAACCATTTGCAAATCAAATACCTGAATTATTCAGCAGTTTGTGTTTGCAAGAGTTCAAGTCCCGGTAAACACCACGTTCCTAAAATGTGGCGTGGGACAGCATTTCTCTCCCTTTGCTGCAGTTGTTATTAATAATAACTGGATAGGCTTTAAATGTACGTTAATGGGATGAACTTATTTCAATTTAAGCCAAAGGAGAGAAACACATTTTAAATATCAGAATTAAAGTTAACTTTGAATTTATACTAAACTGGGAAGATAATAGATTTTCAGATGACCTGTGCCTTGTTGGGATGTCAGCTTTCTTTAAGTCTATTTCTCGAAGTTTCCAAAATGAACAATTCGCTTGTTTGAATATCATGATAGGAATGCTGACTGCTATTGGTTACACACACACACACACACACACACACACACACATCTCCTTGGAACTTTAACATATATAATGATAGCAGTATTAACAGTGAATTGCGCTTCTTTCAAATCTTAAATTGAGGAAACCGTAATGCTGTCTCCTGTGTGTGCTGCTGTGCCCCAGTGAGGGGGTGGTGTGGGCCGAGTCTCCCATCCTGGTTCGCACCTGGGTAGGAGCGGGTGAGACTACGCCGTGACCGTACGGAGCGGACAGTGGGGTTGACACAGTGAATCGTAACCTGCTACGTTGGCATTTTCTATCTCCTTTTCTGTCAGAGTATTACTTTTTCCAGCATTTCTTATTTGTGGATAAAGAGGAAATAAGAACCTGAAGTTAAAATTGAAAGCGTTGTTCTGTTAAAAATCAAAGCAGTAGGTACGGAGAAGTGATTTGTCGTGTTCATTTGGTGCCTGAATCCACAGCTACAAGTTATAACTGACAAGTGCAAAATGTCCAAGAAAGGCAAGATTGCCGAGTATTCTAATTTTCCTGGATAGTTCTCTTGATTTTGTTTCATAAACACAATTTGTTTCCTCCGGAAAGCAAAATGGCCTTGTAATTTTTAATAAAATAATCATTTCATTTTGTCCGAGATACATAATTTCAGGAAGCTACTGAAAGTTCTGACTCGGGGCTTTTTAACAGTTTAAGCAACTGCTAACTATATTTTGGAAATTGTATCTACATAGCTCTTCGGTGCCTAGAAAGAATCATCAGCTGGGCAGCACCGTGAAAGCCTCGTAGACGGCGGTCTCTGGGGCCCGCGTGTCCCTGCCTAGGTCACACTGTTAGCTTCTGTGGCGGTGCCCACACTGTGCTGGTTCTGTAATTCTTTAAAGGAAGATTTTTAGATTCGTGCTTGATCTTTCTTTGTATTTTTTCTTTAAAAAAAAATGCTGACTTCTGGCCATGATGCAGTTACCAGAAAAGTGATTCTGTGTTGTCACGGTGCAGAGCTGTCCACAGGAGTCCCTGGAGGAAGACAGCGAGCTTACAGGAACCCTGGCTCCCCTCAGAAGGAAACACAAGCAGAAGCCTTTGTTCAAGGGATTCATTCTAAAAATATTTGAAAAGGAAATTATGAATTGTGTGTCATCCTTAATGCTGGTCTTAAAAGACTAAATCTATAAAATTGTCTTTAAATTCGGTATGTTTGTGTCATTCTAACTGCAGTATATTTGGTGATAGAAGGAGGTTTAATGGACTCAGTAGTGTTCTGCTTTGCACGTTTTCCATATTTTTAGCTTTCCGTGTTGGATTAATTTGAAGTCTTATATGTGAGTATAGTTTCTGCATGGCAAAAAATTCTTACTAACTTGCTTAAAAATGCTTAGTGAGGAGCCAGGTGTGGTAGTACACACCTGTAATCCCAACACTCAGGAGGCTGAGGCAGGAGGATCGCTCTGAGTTCGAGACCAGCCTGGGCTATACATAGTGAGGGCCAGGTCAGTCTCAACTAAATAGTGAGACCCTGTCTCAAAAAACC